TTTGTGTACTCAGACCAGTAATATTTGGGGTCACAAGTTTTTGCCATGGATAGTTTGTGGGTCAGAAGATAAAAAGCTTGGGAACCACTGCTATAGCGTATCCCACCCCCCATTTTTTTCTAAAGTCAATAGTGAGTATAATATTAAATTAAAATGTTAATGTTGAAATTTTGGAATTAACTGACTAGACTAGTTGTTTCAGCCACKATCATCTTCATTCTAGGCTCCATCTGCTACAGTCTGTCCTGCTGGATGTGATGTGATTTGTGTCATACAGGTGAGATGGAGTGAGTTCARTCCAGTAGGATATCAGGATGGTTTATATTTACACTTCTCATACAACCACAATCAAACTCACTCTATCTAAAGCAGGGGTGCCCAAACATTTTCCTCGAGGGGGCCAACATGAAAATCTATCCATGGCTGCGGGCCAAATGCAGTTATATGAAATACAAATACTTTTTAAAGTAAAGTCCTTTATTTTTAACGATTAAGCTATGCAATGACCCTCTTTTGTTTTAGTCTGTGCACTTGAAGAAAGTCTGCCATACGCTCAAGCAGCAAAGGCTCATGGGACATATCATAAATAGATAAAATATGAGTTTTTATGGCCTTATAAAGTGTGCAAAACTAAATGCGGGAATAAATCTTATCTAAATATTTCTTTTGGTCATTTCATGTTTCATGTTTAATCCTAATAAATCAAAGATATGTCATTACCATTAATGAAAACTACCTTCACTACAGCCCTTTTAGTCATTTGACCAATGAAAATACTCTGTTTTTACCTATAGGATAACAGGTTACATCCTTGTAACGTTGGCAACTGTTGGTGGGCCAAATCAAATGGCTTAATTTGGCCCGCGGGCCCCACTTTGGGCTCCTCTGGTCTAAGGGCTCCATGTATCTGGATAGATTTCTATTGATTTTTTTTCTGAACAATGAAAAGATGGAATAAAAACAAGTCAAAGTGAAATAGAAATGAAATACTTTGTGCATTTTTAAAAAGTAAGTACAGCTAATTGAATTAAAATGTAAGAAGTAGAAGTAACAAGTAGGCTGAATAATAATTACTCCACTAAAGTACAAATAACCAAAATTTCTACTTTAGTAAAGTAATAAAGTTGGCACCTCTGGTATTTTTATCATATAAACTTCGTCATATGTTTCCTGTTAGGGGCTTGAGAATGTCATGAATGTGTCACTGATTTAAGAAAACACAAAATGAACAAAGTCCTGAACAGGTTATGTCTTCAGCCACCATCTTTACTCAGCTGGGCAGACATGTTTTGAAGTCAGGCCTGATCAAATCTTTAAATCAGAAATCTTGTTTCAGGGAGCCTCAAAAAGGAACTTGCTTTTTTTAAGAGTTTCTAAAAAATCTGCTCTTGTGATACTTTAAAGAAACAAAAAAAAAAGTGTTTTACACCTATTGGGCCTCATGCAAGAACATGTTCATATTCTTATACTAAATTTCTCTTACTTTTGTTCGTACAAAGGGTTCGTACGAACATGTCACGTCAGATTCAACAAACACTTCTATCTTCAGGAAAAGTGTGTAAATGA